ACAGTATCGCCTCAATGTGCATCCATTTAGCTAATTTTTGATTCATCAGGATTACCATTCCTCAAAATCTTCCAAGTTCCATTTTTGGTGAATTTTTAATTTCAAAAATATGGATTTTGTGGAGATAATCTCTTTAGTTAGGTAATAAGAATTTTTACTTAATCATTTGGTTTGTTCCAAGCCTCACTGCTTCCTCAGATGACATTTATATTATCCTAAAACCTTCTGACCACTGCTGGAAGGAGGAAACCTCACATTGATAATGCATAAAAAATAAATTCCTTCTTATTACAACCTTCTCTAATTTGGGACTTTATTTTTTCTTTTTGGTACCAGGATCGAACTCGGAACCTTGCACTTGCAAGGCAGGCAGCAGCACCACTGAGCTAAGTCCCCGGCCCTAACTTGGGACTTCTTAAACACTGGTAATTCTTTTACTCTTCTTTTGAGTTATTTTTATTTCTAGTTTCTAAAGAGCCCTCCCCCCATCATGGTATTCAACCTTTTCATTTTATAATATTTCCTTGGTCATAAAATATTTTTAAAGTCACTCAGATGTGCTCTCTGAAGATCTGTTACTCTTCTCTAACAAGCAGAGCAACACGCAGCAGAGCACCTGCTGTCATCCGTTGTCCACCTGTCACTAATCTTTGGGAAAACATCTCCCATCAACCATGCCAGCCTCTCCTACCCATCGTGTCCTGTCCATAAGTGGCAAGGGCCTTTTACTGTATCTGCTTCTATTCAGTTTCTTTATACAGAAGCAAAATTCTGGTGATCAGTGCGCTAGAAGAGTTATGTTCTGATTATGTGTAAAGCACTGAACTTGTCTCCATTTCTTTATCCCCATTCATTTTACAACCACAGCAGTATGTCTGTAGTGCCTGGCCACTCCACAGAAACTGAGCACTCTCAGTTCATCAAGAACTAAAAGTCAAACACAATGGATGACACCAATGCTTCTGTACATTAATATGGTGTGACTCAAATGAGAATCTTGTTAAAATGAAGATTGTGTTTAGATCACTGTGGTTCTGCTTAATGCCTCACATTCTACATTAGAACCAGTTCACAGGATGTCTAAGCCAATGTCAGGGAAGAACAAGCCACTTGATTTCACCGTAACCTTTCGTAGGGCAACTTCCCAAAATTCTCTATGCTTCTGGATTTACTTCACTTTTCTGACTCTTCTTGTTAACTTCTCCTCCTACGAAACTTCATTCTAATTATTCTTTGTTCTTTAAAAATAACCCCCAGAGTTTCATTCTAAATTTACTCCTCTTCTTCCTCAAGTGATGACTCTCACACTTTTATCTATAAAGAAAGTTATTCGGAAATTTATTAAAAATGGAACTCCCTCATAACTCCTCCATAGATTTTGATCCAATAGAAAGACTTTATCAGATTTAAAATTGAAGTCCATTAGTCTTCAGTTTTAATTCTTTTGTTTTTTAGAAAAACATTTATTGGTACATTTTAGATATACATAACGATAACTTTCATCATAAGGAATTTGTATCTGTACATTGGGGAAAAAAAGAAGCAATTTACTTCAATTTTGATTCTAATAAAGTCTCTCTTTTTAAAAAATATACTATATTGTGTACAATTAAGGGATACAACATGAAATCAAGATACATTATGGAGAGTAAAGAAAGGTTACAGTAGAGAAACAATTCATACATCCATCTTTTCACATAGCTACCAATTTTTCTTTGTTTTTGTGGCAAGAGTAAGTAAAATCTACTCATTTAACATGTCTCATATATAGTACAATTGTATTAGCTACAATGATGATGTTGTAGATTAAATTTCTAGATCAGCTTTTCCTAAATATCTGCTACTTTGTGTCTTCTAACCTCACCATACGTTCTCTCCCTACACTTTTTATGGCAACCATTCCTTTGTTCTATATCTCTGTATATTGAATTCTGGGTTTTAAAGATTCTACAAATATATGAGAATTTGCAATTTATTTCTTTTGTGACTGGCTTATTTCATTTAGTGTAACATCAATCCAGGTTGATATATGTGACCAATGACAGGATCTCATTCTTTTTCAGGGTGGCATAATATTCTGTTGTGCAAATGTACTACATTAAAAAAAAATCTATTTATACAATGATAGACATACAGTCTGTTTCCTACATCTTGCTATTGTGAATAATATTGAAATAATCATGGAAGTGTAGATATCTTTACTATACTGATTTCATTTTCTTTAGGTATACACTTGAAACAGTGATTGCTAGATCTAGTTCTACATTTGGTTTTCTGAGAAGTTTCCATACTATTTTCTATAATGGCTATAAAATTTACATTAGCATCAATAGTTCCCTTTTCCTCATCATCTCACCAACATTTATCTTTGACATTTTGATAACACTTATCTATTATAGTTTGGATCTTCAATTTTCCTCAAGGGCTGTGGGCTGTTGAAGGCATAGTCCCACCCCATCATGCTATTTGTAAGGTGGTGAAACTTTTTAGTATGTGGGGTGCTAGTAAGAGGAAGTTAAGTAATTAGGTGCATGCCCTTGAAAGGAATTTTGGAATTCCAGTTCCTTCTTGTCTTTTTCTTTTCTTCCTGGCATCCATGAGATGAGCAGCTTCCTCTGTCATACACTCCCAACAAGATGTACTGTCTTGCCACAAAGCCAAGCAACAACGGACTGAAATCTCTGAAACTGTGAACTAAATTAAACCTTTTCCGGGCTGGGGATTTAGCTCAGTGGTTTCTCCGACTGCTATGCAAGCTCAAAGATCCGAGTTTGATTCCTGGTACCAAAAAAAAAAAAAAAAAGAATGGAAACCTTTCCCTTTTTAAGGTAATTCATCTCAGGCATAATGTTATCAAGATAGAAAGCTGACTAAACCATCATCCTACAGTAAATCTCATAGTACTTTTGATTTGCATTTCCTTGATTGATGATGACTTTTTCAAATGGCTGTTGGCCATTTTTATGTCCTTTTTGAAGAAATATATTTTCAGGTTATTTGTTCATTTTTGAACAGGTGTTTTTCCACTACTGAGTTATTTAACTTCTTTGTAAATTTTGTGTATTCATCCTTTAGGGCACTTTTCACCTTTGATTGCTTTAATCCTATCATAGATAATGACAATTTCTAAATCAGACCTACACCTCAGATTTACCCACTAGTTCACCTATCTACTAATAGCACCATTATCTAGCTAGAAAAAATTTTAAGAGTTTATGTCCAGAAAACACTTGACTATGAGTCCTTGTCTATAGGAATCGTTGGTATCAAAATCAACTGGGAAACTTGGTAAAATCACTGACTTACAAACCATTTAAATGTTGACCCTGAGTCTGGAATAAGGCTTGTGGTATTGTATTTTTAATAAGCCTTCATCTAATATCCCCAAACCACTTCAAGAAATGTTGTCTCTCCAGCTGGACATGGTGGTGTACAACTGTAATCCCAGCACTAGGGAGACAGAGACAGAAGGATCACCAAGAGTTTCAGGCCAGCCTGGGATAGACAGTGAGTTCAAGGCCAGCTTGAGCTATACAAAATGAGACCCTGTCTTAAAGAAAACAAAACAAAACAAAAATGTCTCTCCTAAGGATTCATCTGGCTCTTCCTAGGCAGCAGGATCACAGAGTCTTTGGAGGCACCTTCCCCAGTAGAGGGCTTACGGTGTGAGAATAAGCGATAGTTGAACCTTCTTCATAATCTCTAGCAAACCTCCAAACAATTCTAAATAACAGCGCAAACTAAAACCAGTACTTGGCTCTGCCCTGCCTTGCCTTCCTTTTCCTTTTGCAGTGCTAGGACTCAAACTCAGGGCTCGTACATGCTAGGCAACTGCTTCACCACTGAGCTATATCCCTGTCCCCAGTTCATTTCTATATAAAGGCAGGTATAGATCAAATCACCGGCCACTGTTCCTCCCAACAAAATTCCCTTAAGCCCCTTTATACAGTTATTTCTGCACTACTATGGTTTGCCTTTATACCAGTTATGCTTCAAAATAAGGAATACATGCATGGGCCCTCTCTCTTTTTGGACTTTTCGTATGAAGATACATTATTAATTTAATCAATTGAATGGCAAAGCCTATAAACATCACAATAGACAGTACCTACCTCTATGGTGAAGATAAAATCCATTGATGTTGACACAAACGCTTTAATTTTTATTTCCCAAGGAAGCTTTTCTTCAGACCACCTCCACTAGAAGAAGCTCAATTAATAGCATTTCTATCATAAAGAGTCCTGGTTTGTATTTTTTTAAAATTAGCCTCCTTTACACTACAGATGAATTTTATTAGTTGCCTAAAGGAATTCTAAGTTGATGTTTTCTTCATTGTCCTTTTATTCCTGTTATGCCTTTTAGTGCATATGTGCAATTGTATTGCCCAGTGTTATGAGAATAAAATTAGACTTCAATTAGTCATTTTGAGAGGTGGCAACCAAGTGGCTAATCCTTTTGAAATCTTTAACAAACCTCGTTATTCTCAGATTGATGCTGGCATTTAAGGAATCCAAAATAATACAAACCACATAAATTTGACATATATGAATTGTGTTTTTTATAAAATATGTTTTTTATACTGAGTAGGCCCTAAGCCTAGTTTTAAGTGGAAACATTGCCAGGGGTTGTAATGCAAACAGTATTAATGTTTTGATCCATTGGAATCTTGCCTCTACACAAACGTTATATTCATGTTCTGTGTCCTTCTCTATCTGCATATCAAAATGTGCAATAAAGAGGTAAAATTTTTTCACTAAAAAAAAAAAAAAAAAATCAATGGGAGCTGAAAGGACAAGCAATTTACTCAGGTTTTACCAAGATTGTTTTGCTTTGATTCCAGGAGCTCAAGGCACCGATTCACTCTAGTTTTCCAAACTCAGACAGGAAACATTTTAATTCAGCTGAGGTCACAAGCAGACATTTTCCACAGTTTAGAGTTATTCTTTGACGTATCTTTCATCCTTGCTTTTCTCCCCGTAGTTCTCTTTTCGGCAGCCTCCCTCTCTCAGCTGCAGGGATTTGTCCTCCACAAGAATGGGGGTGGGAGGGAACAAGGAATGGAAGCGAGCAGGGAGCAGGAGCTAGAGAATGCCAGGATCTGGCTTTTGTTATTGGTTGGCTGCCGCCTGATGGCTAGAGGAGGGAGGAGTGAATTCTCTTCAGTGTGTTCTGACGGAGCTGAAGTCCAGAAACCATATTACAGGTAAGAACGAAAATATTATAAAAAAGGAAAAAGAGCCTTATATTCTTTTTTGTGTTTTCGAAAGAGAATGCTTCTCAATTCTTATTGAAAAAGAGTATACTGTGAAAATTATTCTGACTACATTTCCAGGAAATATGCCCTTTTATTACTTGAAGAAGCTGTACAGTGAGCTGTTCTTTCTCGCTACAAAACCCTCTGCTGGTAAAAAAAAAAAAAAAAAAAAAAAAAAAACCAGACACCAGAGGCATCTTTTATCCTCGATAATTTTCTCAGCAATTCTTATTGAAGAAAAACTGTTAGATAAAATGAGTGTGTGTCTTTAAAAAAAAAAAAATTGAAGCTTGTATTATTGGGAATCAAAGGAGGAATGAAAAAGCTTGGTAAATTCCACAGGTCCTGAGAAAATGGAGCCTTCTCAGAATATACAATATAAATTCAGTGTGGTGTCTTTTAATGCTTACAATACAGTAAATGGTCTAGGAAATATATTTTTGCACGTTGTAGACTCTTATGCTAATTTAGAATGATCTGTGTGTATTTAAGCCCTTTTACTGAACTTACTTCTCTCACTTAATCTTGTGCTTTTGAGTAAATGTATCATTTTATCAATAAATATTAAGCTCAATCGTCTTTCTATACTTACTGTCGTGTGGGATCATTTTCATTTTCAAAGCTAAGAAACTAAATGTGAAGAATTAAATATTGCTGTAAAAAATAGCATTTTAGCAGGCAAGTTTCACTGGTAGTTTCACTTATCAATCAGATATATCTAGATAAGAATTCCATCACACCATTTATATTACTGGCTATATCTTTAAGGTTTCATTTTCAGTATCTCTAAAGTTTTTATTTTGCTAGTTGCTTATATTTCCTAACATTGCCTTTTATTTTTCTCCAGCGAAAATGAGGAAGATTTATAAATACGTAGGAATGAATGACATACTTATAATAAAGACAAATGAAAAATAATTTTATCCCAAGTATTTTAATCATATACTGATTTTAATCCATAAGTATAGATCATTAAGGTTGAGATACTCCCATTAAAATTAAGCTGTTAAAATATTATTACAGACTTGGCTATTAATACCTGTTGATTATAATAAGTGAAAGTTTTTTCCAGCTATAAATAACATCTGTATGTATGTTTAATGCTTCTTTTTATTGAATCATAGACTAATAGAAATGACTATATATTTTTAAGGATTTTTTTGGTCTTGTTTTTGCTTTCTGCATTTGTTTGGGAAACAGATTTATCTTTAAATAAAGAGATACAGTTTTTGAAAATTGAAATAAATGGGCAAGAAAAACTACTGGATACTGAGTAAAGATTATCTACATGAATGAAAAATTTCCTTAAACTTCCCAAATATACTAAATATAGTTGTTAATGTTTTTATGCACTATATGTCATAATGACCTAAGCAAACATTCTTGCATGGCTTATTTGAGCCTTTTTTGATTTAAAAAATGATATAATATTGAAATTTCACTGTTTCAAATTATTTATGGATTTTTTTTCTGATTTTGGTTTTCCAAGCAAAATAATTGTTGAAATTAATCCATCCCACCTACTAGATTGGATTATGAGGCAGTATATAAAACCAGATAGTCACCTCCTGAAATGTGTTGGTGAGAAATAAGTCAATGAAACTACATATTTTAGAAATTGTAAATTCTGAGCAAAGCTACCTCTAGGAATGAAGGGGAATTGATGAAAATTAGAGAGCAGAGTTCCACATGGTTTTAAATTATTCTGTTTCCTTGGAAACCAGCTGCTGCAGATGCATTTTGCTTTCTTTGGCTAAAAATATCATCCTTTTAATAATTGCTGAGGGAAAGGTTCTGAATAAACCAGAATATATTGTTGCTGCTTTTTATAATTTCCTTAATGGTTTACATATTTTGGATGAAAAGTAGATAAATCCTTTCTCAATCAGCATTTCCTATCAGCAACTGGCAGACGTCTGGAAGCATTACAACTGTGGTAGTTTCTAATATAGAGTCTACAGGGGAAGTGTATGTGTGTGTATGTGTGTGTGTGTGTGTGTGTGTGTGTGTTTGCTGGATAGAAGGCAAGAGAGAGAAAATAGCGTGAAAGAAAACAGTGAAGAGGCTCCTGTCCAAGTGAAGGATGAGACAAGGCAAATGAAAACCACGTAAGGCAGCCCAGAAGGGAATGGCAGGCAGGACCATTTTTCCTCCCCTTGGTATAAATTTTGTAATACTTAAATATAGGTTTTTCATGAAGATCACTAAATAAAATTCTATCCCCTTTTGCAAAGTACTTTATTTCCTTTTGGTATTTACAGTGGTTAGTAATATACTCAATAAGACAACAAAATTTTTAAATATTGCCAAATTCAACCATAAAAAGAAAAATTTGAGATCACACTATGGGTAACAAGGATGATAAAATACATATTTTGATATAGTAAAATAAGAATATTTTAAATTGAATGTTTATACCATGTTTCACTAATACAACCATTTCCTTACCTGTATAGTTTACCTAGTAAATAAAAATTTCATTTTTCAATAACCTGA